ATAGGCATGTGACCCACACCTGACCAATCATCGCACTTCATCACCTTGTCTTTGGTAATTGGCCCAAGGAGCTGTCACGTGACTGAGCCAAGCCAATCAGCTTTCTGCCATGAGATTTGCTGTTGGGGTACAGGAAAAGACTCTATCTACTGCTTTGGGATCAAGATCTGTAAGGATGTAAGCTGAGGCTTGTGGGGCATCTTCCCTGCACGCTGGAGACCTAGACTCGGGGAGGCCATACCCAGAGACCTAGGCATGCAGGGTTGAGAGATGAATAGAAGGAGAGACGTCATACACACACCCATCCATGCCCACCAAGCTACACACACAGCACATGGCAGAGGAACTGGCCCAGGTCACAGCTGGTGTCATGTGTCACCGTCTTTATTGACAAGAGCTAGGGGCGGGAGAAGCAAAGGGTTTCCCTCAGGGGTTTTCCAGCCACCCCTGCTGAATAGGCTCACTTGTCCCAGAAATCAGGAAGGCAGGGTCAGCCAGGAAATGCTGAAATGCCGGGGGCCCTTCTTCACTCAGATCCTCCTCAGGGGAACCCCAGACTGAGGGCTGGGTCTCCAGCTCCAACATCCATACAAGGTCTGGTTTTGTGAACTTCTGAGCGGGCACACTCCCCAAACCCCACCTCTCCATCTTTGGCCTCTGCCTCCCCCCCATCCCCCGAACCTGGGTCACGCACTATCCTTACACCTAAGGGCCAGAGACCGAGAGGCCACTTGATGAAGGAGCAGGTGTAGGCCAAGCCTGGCATGAGAGCTGCCTCCACTTTGTAATCTGACACCCCCACCTCTACCCATTGTATTGTGTGGGCCGGTTTGCCCAGCATGACTCATCCCCCGCCCCTGCCCCCCCACCCCACCCCACCCCCCGCCAAATCCGAGCAGGTAGGCAGACTGGGACAGCCTCCATTTTATGATGGGGAAACTGAGCCCCAGAGAAGTCCAGGCTAGGATCCTGAGGTGGGTTGAAGATCTAGGTCTTCCAACTTGCGGTTCGCGTGCTTTCCTTGAGGACTCCCCTGCCCTCTGCCGGGGTGGGGGATGGAGGGAGTTAGCTTGAGGTGCCGCTCACCCGAGGGCCAATCTCACCATGGCTCTGAGGGCTTATCTCTGGGAGAGAGTCCTTGCATGGCGGCCTCTCCTGTCCTCGCCAGCCCCCCTTGTCTTGTCTTCCCTGGGCCGCCCCACACTGTGGCCCCAGAGAATATAGAGAATGGGGAGGCCTGATCCCCGACCCGCGGGGCCCTGAGTCTCAGCTCTGTCCCTAGGCCACCGTCAAGGCGCAGGCCCTCTTACCAGCACAGACAGGCCCTCAAGGGAGCCTGCGCTGTACCTTCCAGAGCATTTGCTATCCCATCTTGACTGCATCCTTCCCTTGAGATTGATCAGACCAGGCATCCACAACCTGCTTTCAGCAATGCTGCCACCGAGCTCAGCCCAGAGGGGCTGAGGATGGCTGAGTGGTCATGGGGCAGATCTGTCCTCCACCCTCTTTCTCCTCCTTCCTCTCTTCTTTTCTCCTCCCTCTTCATCCTCCCCCTCCTCCTCTTCCTCCTTCTCCTCACCATGCTATTTAGACACTGCTTTTCCCCACCAGTCTGCCTGGCTTGGGCCCTGCCTGGGTCTCTGGGAGGGGAGGAACGCTGATGGGTGCTGCTATAAGGGGGCCCCTGGAGCCCTCAGACACCCGGAGACACCCCCCTCCCCAGCCACAGGACACAATGTGAGCTGCTTTGGGAATTGGTCAGCTGCCCTCAAAAGGGCTGAGTGGGGCTTTGAGTGGCCTAAACTTATGCAGTTTGGAGACCCTCTTTATGAAAATGAATATAAAATTCCAAGTACAAAATGAGATACGGGGCCTTGGATGGGCCCAAGTGGTAAGGGACCCTGAAGCTGGCCTGAGAGGCTTTCCTGGAAAATCCACGGCCTCTCAGGGCCAGGAACACAGGAGTCCCAGCATTGACCATCTGGGCCAAGAGGGCCTGGAGGTTATTGGGTTGTTCAGCAGGTGAGGCCTGAGGCCCAGAGAGGGGAAGAGCCGGCCAAGGCCTTGCAGCAAGTGGGGGAGAGCTGAGGTGGGGCCTGAGCAGTTTGTATCCGTCCCTGCACTGGCTAAGACTTTCTTCTACTTCTACACCAGTCCCTTCCCTGCGAACCTGACTCTGAGCCCAGGAAATCCAGACTTTGGTCAGTCGCCCCGAGGGCCAAGATTCAGGCTGGTCCACTAGGATGCTCTTTCTTTGAGGGGGAAGGCCAGTCTGCACCTGTCCCCTGAACTGGGCCCCCCTCAGGAAGGCCAGCCAGTGGCGATGCCCCTCTGGACTTCTCATCCAGCAGAGCTTATCCTGGCCGACTACTCCCATCCCTGAGTCACAGAAGAGAACACAAGGCCCAGAGAAGGAAAGGGACCTAGGCAAGGTCACCCAGCGAGTCTCAGCAGCTATGGGATCAGAGCCCAGGCCTCCAAGCATCCCATCGTGGGCCTCTGGCACCATGGACGGCCATGCCCTAGGCCCACCCACAGCCTCTGTCCTGTCCGTGGGCCCCGCGGGCCCTCCGCAGGCCCCTACAGATAGCTGACGTGCAGTGTGCCCGGCTTGTCCCCAGCCGAGGCCTCTTGCGGGAGGAACTGCTTGTCCTTGCCGGCCTTGCCGCTGGGCGGCCGCTCCTGCCTGCTGGTGCCAGGCTGCGTGATGAGGCTGACCCGGCCATTCATCTCCCGCCCCTCCCCCTGCTTCCCTGCCCCCTCCTCCCCGTCCTCCCCCCGCTCCTCCTCCTCCCCCTCCACTGTCCTCCCGGGGGGCCCGGCAGAAGGCTCCTGGCTGCGCACGCGGCGGGAGGGCCGCAGCAGGACCCTGCGGAAACCCTGCTTGAAGCGGTAGGAGAGGAAGCCGTAGAGGATGGGGTTGGCACAGCTGTTGGCGTAGGGCAGCGCCACCACCAGGAAGTAGAGGCCGAAGAAGGCGGGCTCCTCGGGCAGCGGGCACAGCACGTTGACGATGTTGAGCACGTAGAAGGGCATCCAGCAGAGGACGAAGAGCGCCACCACGGCCACCACCATGCGCGTGACCCTGCGCTCCGAGTGCCGCCGCCGCTGGCACGAGGGCGCCCGCACCCGCCGCCCGGCCGAGCGCACCTTGACCACGATGAGCAGGTAGCAGAGGCAGATGACCAGCAGCGGCCCGAAGAAGCCTAGGGCGGCCGTGTAGATGATGAAGCCGGCGCGCCAGGCGGCCGCCGGCTCAGGCCACTGCATGTGGCAGGTGCTCATGCCGTGGGGCACCCCTGAGAAGACCACCACGGGCAGCACCACCACCGCCGAGGCCACCCAGACGGCCACGCTCACCGTGCGGGCCACGGGCGCCGTCCGCCAGCGGGCGGAGCGGGTGGGATGCACCACGGCCAGGTAGCGATCCACACTCATGACGGTGAGGCAGAAGATGCTGGTGAACTGGTTGATGCCGTCCACGGCCATGACCAGGCGGCACATGAGGGAGCCGAAGGGCCAGTAGGACAGGGCGTTCTGGGCAGCCAGGAAGGGCAGCCCCAGCATGAAGAGCTCATCGGCCAGGGCCAGGTTGAGGATGTAGACATTGGTGACCGAAGGGCTGGCCGTATGCCTCAGGACCACGTAGATGACCAGGGAGTTGCCCAGCAGGCCCACCACGCACACCACCAGGTAGACCAGTGGGATCAGAACACCGCTGATGGCCAGCCCTGCCACACTGGGGGCTGCCGACACATTTGCCAGGGTGGCATTCAGGAGCCAGGCCGAGGAGGTGTTCCCAGGTTCCAAGGTTGTGGGCGCCAATGCAGGATAGCCAGGGGCGTCCATGGCCGTGGGGAGGGTGGTCAGCGGTCAGCTATTGGCCTGGAGGAGGAAGGACACAGCCGCGTCATGGTGGATGATGGCTTTCTCTGCGATGCCCTTCCCCCATCACACTGACCTTGGAGACTTGCAGTGTGCCTGGCCAGAGTTTGACCCCAAGTGGATCACCCACTGTGATAGACTGAATGTGTCCCCCCTGCTCCCAAATTTGTATGTTAAAATGCTAACCCCCCAGAGATGGCATTAGGAGGCGGGGGGCTTCAAGAGGTGCTTATGTCTTCAGGGCGGAGCCCCCCTGAATGGGATCAGGGCCTTATAAAAGGCCCCAGAGAGCTCCCTCACTCCCGCCATATGAGGACACAGCAAGATGACTGTGAACGAGGAAGCAGGTATCACCAGACACTGAATCTGCCGGCACCGTGATCTTGGACTTCCAGCCTCCAGAACTGTGAGAAATAAATGTTGTTTATAAGCCCCCGCCCCAGGCTGTGGTATTCTGTTATAGCAGCCCCGAATGGACTAAGACGGCCACCAGCAGGTCCCAGCCCTCACATTTGAAAACCAGTGCTGAATATCGCAGGTCTTTAACCTTGGAACTGCGTCTCTAGATGAATTGCAAAGGATCCATGAACCCCCAAAACTCTGGTGCAAGTGAATGCGTCCATGTCTTTCCTGGGCAAATCCCAGAGCTTTGATCAGGTTCCTCAGATTCTGAACGGAGTTAAGAACCACAAGTATAGCGATGTCCCCTCTCCTGGGAATTGGAATGCTTGGAGACCTCCCAAGCCTAGCCCATCCCATAGTGCCCCAAAGGCCCTGCCTGGGGTGGCTAGCTGTGAACCTGGGGGGTGGGCACATGGGGCCCCTTCTCTCCCTGTGGTGAGAAATTCACAGCACACTGGGAGTAAGTACAAGAAGAGCCACCCCCTCCGCACCGGTGGGGCAGGCTTCCCAGAGAAGAGGGCATTTCATATGGGTCTTGAAGCATGAATAAGAGTTTGCCAAATGACAGAGTGGGAACCAGCATGCCCGTTCACTTCCTTAGTCCCTTTCTTATCATGCCTGCCGTGTATCCTAAGGAGCTAGGACTCTTCCTGTTCCCCGGCTAGACTGGCTCCCCTTAAATGTGGAGACACCCTCTCAGCTTTGAACCGTCTCCTCATCCCTTCACACTGTATAGGCTCTGCATCAGTGTTTGAAGCATTGAGTGAATCAGAGGAACCCGGAGTAGACAATTCTCAATGCAGAGGGGGCATGAATTGCTGATAGCAGAAATTCAAGCCCCACTCGCTCGGAAAGGCCACCCGCCTCAGAACTTGTGAGCCTCCCTCAGTGGGACTTCCTGGCTCTCAGGAGGCCCGGTTAGAGGCCAAGCCTCCTCGGGGGCCTGGACCTCTCCTCACCCCTTCTTCCTGATAGCTTCCCCCAGTCTCTTGGCTCTTGTCCGTCCCCTGCCTCTCCCTACAGAAAACCGTGAGAAATCCTCCGATATCCCCACTCTGAGCCAACACTGAGCCTGGATCCCCTCCAGTGGGACCTGCCACCTGCCTGCCCTATCCAGACACTACTTTTAGGATGCAAAGCTTCTGGAAAGGAGAGGCACCCCGACTTGGAGCAAACACCCCTGGGTGGGTGAGCCTGCCTGGTTGTCCCTGCCCAAGGACCTTGGGCTCCAAATAATCTCTGAGCACCAGGCCAGGCAATCCAGAGAATGGCAAAGAACCCCTTGGCCGTGGCTCCTCCTGATGACACCCCAGGCTGGTTGGGCTCAGAGCACCCCCTCCCTGCTCCTCCAACCCCAGGGGAGGAGCCCCCAACCTGTCATCACCCCAGGACCTCATCAGCCTTCCTGAGCCTGGGACGTGCCACTCAAGGAGGGCCTATCTGGACAGGGAGGATCCTAACAGTGCGGCCAGTTCTGCAAAGGTGAGGCCATACCACCCTGGTCGCACAGCTAGGAAGGGGCAGACCTGGGAGGACGCTGAAGGTCATGCTCCAACACACACACACACCTCCATTTCACAGGCCGGCAGACTGAGGCTGAGCCTTGGGGAGGCCCCCAGCTGGCATCCCACTCTCCCACCAGGCTATGCAGAGCTCCCCTCACTGCTCTTTGGGTTCTTGAACTATTAGGATCAGGGGCTCAAACCTCTGAAATCGTAGGGTCCTAAAAATAGAATTTTAGATTCTTAGAACTCAGTTATGGAGTTCTGGATCTTTAGACTCTGTGTCCTTGAATCAGAATGTCAGAATTCCTGAATGCCAGAATCAGCCCTCTTCCACCTGGAATTGTGGAATCTGAGACCTCGGAGTTCTTTCTGGCTTCCTCGGCCCAGGAGCCCTACGTCACCCATCCGTCCACCTTGCCGCCCTGCGCGCGCATCCTCTTTCCAGTGTCCCTGTGGGGCAGCCAATCACAGCCCAGGGCTGGAGGAGGCAGGAAAGTGCCAGGCTCCTGAGAGAGGAGCAGGGAGCTGGGCAAACCTAATTTCCAGGCTGCAGGGACAGATGCCCCCAGGGAAGCCTGGAGGTAGCTCTGGGGACCGCCCCCCTCCTGCTCAGGCACACGTGTGTACCCTGCACACACGCACACGTAATAACATGCGCGGCCCTGGGAACACAGCATACCCAGCCAGGCCCTGCCTTTGTACTGGGGGGGATGCCACAGCCCCTCCCAAAGCCCCAGCCGCCCTGGAAGACTCTGCCTCCGCCCTCATCTGGGCCCATCTTCCCTGTCAAAGTTGAACAGGCCGGGCGCCAGAAGCAGGAAAATTACAGATTTCTGCAGGCATAAGCCAACCTGCACTTTAGGTGCCGCCTTTTCTTTAAGGAGCCGGAATCCTGTCCATGATCTAGTTCATCCTCAGGGAGGAGGGACTTTTCCTCCCTGTCTGGTTTATCTTTGGCACAAGCTTGCCTGAAAACTGGGGGCGGACTCCTCAGAGGACAGTTTGAGAGGGGACAGAGGCCCAGAGAGGGTGAGGGGCTGCCCTGAGCCACACAGCAATTCAGGACAGCCGCTCAGAGATGCCAGACACCCCCAACCACTTTCCATTTGTCTGCCCCCATCCGCTTACCCTCTTGAGTGCTGCATCTGGGTTGTGGGAACCCTGAGCTACTTACTTCTTTAGCCCCAGCACCTGGCACAGCGCCTGGCACTGGGAAATGAGGACAGACGAAGCAATTCAGCAAGTAGAGCTCCAAACGAGGCGGGCCACTGCTCCTGGGCACAAGACTCGGACCCACATCATGAAATCCTCACAAAGCCCAGGAGGGAGGATTTTTACAGAGGAAGAAGCTGAGGCTCAGAGAAGTTCAGTAACTTGCACAAGGTCCCCTAGCTGGTGAGTGGGAGACCAGAATTCAAACCCAGTTCTGTCTACTCATAAACCATCAGTACCTCCTGGCCCTGCTGGCTTCCCCTGAAGGCCCCCGGCTGAGAGGAATCCAGGACTGGGACCTGGGACGGCCCAAGGCCTGCAGGCTGATGCCCCCCGGCCAACCGCATTCTGCTTGCCCTCTGCAACCCTGGGCCTTCCCCCCAAAGATCTGGATTGTGTCAATCAGTGCCGACGGACTCACTCCCATTCCAGGCCTGGGGTCTGACCCCCAGGAACACACCCCACAAACGCTGGGCTGGGGGCTTGGGCTCTACCACAGAATGATGATACCCAATTACTGTGTGACCTTGGGCAAATCACATCCTGTCTCTGGACCTCAGTTTCCTCCTATTCCAATGAAGACAGGTAAACCCACGTCCCAGGGTTGCTATAAGGTTAAATGGGAGTGTGCCAAACGCAGTGCCCAGCACGGAGGGAGACCTCAGGGAAGCTGGCCCCGGGGGCCGAGGAGGCCCACCGACATGATGTGTCTGGTTTCTTTCCAAGCTCTGACACTCTGCTGCTCTGTGGTTCCAGTTTCTAGAACCATGGCACAAGAATCTGAGATGAACTTGCCCCCCACCCCCCACAGCCCACCAAGAGGTCACAGGGAGGCCTCCTTCCTCCCTGGGCCTTCCCACTCTCTCCTGGGCAGGGGGTGGGTTCCAGCACCCCACCCTCTGGGACCCCACCCAGGCCCCAGCCTCCTTACCTGCCCATGGGGTGAGGGCTCCCCTGCTTGCCGCCAGGCTGGTTACCATTCTGCTGCCCCCTCTCCCTGCCCAGGCCCCAAGTGCCCAGAGCACCCTTAGCTGGGGTCCCCACACACTGCCCACTTCTAGACAGCTTACGGCCCGAGCCCCTTCCTAGGCCTGCGGCGGCCACGGCTGCCCACAGAGCCTCTCCCATCTGGTGTCCGGCCCTGACTTCCCACGGGTGCCTGGTGCGTCACCCCCCCCCATCTCCAGGACACATCCTGGGGGGGGCGGTTAGAGGCACAGAGGGGGGTCTGTGGGCAGGAGCTCCGGGTGGGGGTGGACAGAGAACCTCCCAAGGAAAAGAAAAGGGGAGCAGGGACTGTCGGAAGCCAATAGAAATAGAGGGGAAAGGGGGGATCAGTCGGAGGTGGAGAGAGAGAGAGAAGACAGTGAGTGGGTGGAAAGCCAGAATGAGGGGGAGTGATAAGAAATGCGTGGCAGGGAGAAGAGAAGCAGGAGCAGAGAGGAGAGAAGGGGCGAGAGGGAGATGTGGAGAGAGGCAGGGATGGAGAGCGGGGAAGGAGGAAGGAGAAGGAGGGGGTGGCAGGCAGAGTGACAGAGAGGGATTATGCTACAGATGGTGACATGGAGAGCCAGGGGAGGAGGGAGCAGGAGTGGGGGGGGGTCCGGGGGGGCTGGAGAGCAGGTGCAGGGAGGGGGGAGGGGTGGCAGGTTAGGGAAGGAGGCGGGGTTGGGGAGAGGCAGACCCTGTTACTGTGGAGATTTGGCCACCCACGCTGGCCTTGGCTCATGCTGTGGAGGGGCGAAACGCAGGGCTCAGGGGAGCCGGATGCCCCCCGGGCCCCCGTGGCACATGTCCCCCAGGGCGACAGCTGGGTCCCGAGGCCAGGCAGGTGAGGGATTGGGCAGTGCTAGGAGGGCTGGGAGCATGGACGAGCACTGGGCTGGGAGTCCACGGTCCTGGCTGCCAGCTGGACACCAAGCAGAGGAAGGCCAGCTGGGGACAGCAGTCCTGACTGAGCCCGGAGAGCCCAGGGCAGGGTGGGGGGGTTGGAGGACGGGGTAAAGAATACATAATTCAGGTTTTGGGGGTCAAGGGCAGAATCAAAGACATTATACAGGAGAAAACAAATGTCCACTGTTTATAAATTGACACAATTTAAAATATAATAATAACTGAGGACAATGTTTTATAACCCAGTCTGCTACTACTGAGAAGAGTGGAATTCTCTGGGCGGGGGTGGGGGCTGAGGGGGACATTGTGCTTAACTGGAGTTCAAGTTAGTATTTCCTATCCTCAAATCGGTTGCAAATGCTCATCTGTAAAATCCATTCTGAGTCGGCAGCCTGGACAAAAGCAGGCGGTGGGCCGGCTTTGCCAGCCTATGGTCTAAGGTGCTCTGCCCGGGGCCTGAGCACACCCCTGGCTGCCCCTGGATGTGTACCCCAGCTCCTGCTGACCGATCTTGTGACCACAGGTGAGTCGACCCTCCTCTGGGCCTGATTCCTCATCTGGATAGTCGGGAGGTTGGACTGGATCATTCCTAAGCTCCTCTTTCTATGTGACCATTATAATTGCCGGGGGGTCAATTAGCAATGGCCGTTTGGTATTAAGCCCCGCCCCCTGCTTCACACGCATTGCCTTGCGTCTTCGTCGTGGCCGCCACACTGCCCACGGTGAGCAGTACAGTGTATCTGGTTTACGGGTGGGAAGCTGGGGCTCAGAGAGGGAAAGCAGTTTACTCCGATCACACAGCCAGCGAGTGGAGAAGGGCCGGCCCCACGTTAACGGTGTGCCGCTAAGCACCTTCCCGGCGGAGCGGCCTTGCCCCTGCTCAGAGGGCGAGGCGGGACCAGTCCCAGGAGGGAGGAAGGACGGCAGGGGGTCTTGGTTGAGCACCTGCAGCGTGCCAGGCACCATCCAGGCCCCTTCCCATCGTGGGCCGTTTCTCAGGGCCGGGGCTGGACCTGCTTTGTCACTAGGCACCCAGGGATGGGGTGGAGTAGGTCCTCAGAGAGCCCGGCATCAGATTCTTCCAGAAGAGCCATTCTGGCTACCGCAGAACACAGTAGGACTAGGAACACACCCGCTTCCAGAGGCTCCTGGACACCCCTTTCCTTGACGCTGTCCTTCCACTTGCCAGGGGTTCCCAGTGTTCTGTCCGTCTGCCCGTCCGTGCAAGTTCCTGAAGAGTAGGAGGGCTCCAGGCAGCTCCTGGGAGTGAGGAAGGGGTTTCCATGGCCCTGTGCCTCCCCTGCCTGAGGGCGCCTCAGAATTAGCCGCCCCCGCCCAGCAGCCCTCCAGGCTTTATATCCCACTAGCCTTGCCTCATCCTGCTCTGCTCATTTCCTTCTTCCCCGAGCTCCAGGCACACCCAGCCTCACCCATTCATTCATTCACTGCCTCTAGAGGGGTGGCTCAGGCCTCTGAGACAGTGAGAGGCCCGAGCAGTAACTAAGGAGGAGGGCCCAGGCGGAGAGCAGGGTGGCTGGAGGGGAGGGAGGCAGGGGAGGCCTCGGGAGGCCACACCACGGAGGGCCCTATCTCAGGCTGGGTGGGTCGGGAGCGTCACAGGCGGGAGCAGAGGAGTTTCTTGACCTAATTTCTGTTCTTCAGGGGCTCACCACCAGTCAGGCACCGGGGACAGTGTTGGTTCTCCACAGGGCCTTTGCACAGGCTGTGCCCCAGCCCTGGTCACTCCCCTCACACACCCCACCCCACCCCTACATGTGAGCTGAAGTCCTTCTTCAGGTGGCCTCCTCCTGGAGCCTTCCCTGTCCTAGATGAGCTAGGCCTCCCCAGAGCCCCCAGCCTCACCATGTCCCCAGGCCTGGCACTGGCCTAGTGCAGGTGTGTCTATGGAAGAGAAGATGGGTGGAGGGCGAGCAGCAGGGTGACAGAGGAGGAGAGACTATAATCTGCTGAATGTCTGCTGGAGGCTGAGGGGTGGTAAGGGGTCCCCGGCACCAGGCTGGGGGCAGGTGTGGCCTGAGTCAGACACCGAATGCCACCCAGGGGCCTTCCCCGAGCAGAAGTAACCCAGGGATCCCTGATCAGCCTCTCCTTCTGGGGGTGGCAGGGCAGGAAGAGGAAGTGCAACTCCATCCCTGTGAGCCCTGGGAGGCTGGGGCTGCTGGGTGTCGGAGCCGGGAGGTGGCCCCACCTTGCTTGGCATGGAGGTCCTGGAGCATGAGAACCTCTGACCTCAGGCCTGGCACTCGGCGCTGCCATGTCTGCCTGGTACCCTGGAGGGGCTGCCTGGACTGCCTCTCAAAACTAGGACAGTGCTATGTCTGCCCCATCAGACCCTGACCTCCCCCAAACTGGGGCCACGTCTCCACCCTCAGACTAGAGGGCTTCCTGTGACCAGGGGCTGTGTCTCTGCCATCAGACAGGCAGTTTTCCAGAAGCTGGGGCCCAGGCTCCTCCCACTCCTGAGGGCCCAGACAGTACTGTCTGCCCCCCCCCACCCCCCAATGCCTGGGCCAGAGCCAACCACAGTGTAGGCTGGGGGCCCGAGCCACTGATGCTGAGGTCTGTCCTTCAAATAAGACAAGGCGAGCCAAAATACCTTCCCGGCCCAGCGCCTGGGCCTCTGCCACAGGAGTCCCCATTAAAGGTGTCCTTGGGTTCATCGGCCCCTGCTGTTCCCTGCTAGGGTCGAATCTCAGCTTCTCCACTCACTGGCTGTGTGACCTTGGATATGTGACTTAGCCTCTCTGAGCCTCCGACCCTCAGCTTCAGCACCTGCTGCACAGGGGTGGTGAGACCAGAATTAGTTAATCTCAGGGACACTGAGAAACTACACGCAGCATGAGCCCCCAGCCCCACCCCCGGCCTCCTATGTGGGCGGGGAGGGGCCAGCAGACCGCACAGCTGAGTCTCAGCCCCTCCCTGGCCCAGTCAAGCAGCGTGACTTTGTGAAACCCCTCTGCTAACTTCCTCCTTCAATCGAATGTGTCCACCTTCCTGTCTGGCCCTGGGTTCTTATGATGGTCAAACGGAGGAAATGGCTGTGAGCTTGCGGCCCCCAGCACTACGATTCATTGCTTGTACCTCAGACTCTCTGTTTTCTGACCTGCTCACCGCTCTCCATCCCCCGAGCCTCCCTTCTAGGCCAAGCCACCATTGCCTCATCCGTCCCCGTCCTTCTGCCCTCGCCCCGCCCCCTCAGCAGGGAGAGTGAGTCCTTTAAAAAACAAGTCAAGCCACTTGCTTCCTCATTGAGACCCTCTAGGGCCACCTGTTGCTGTAGAATGACATCTGCTATCCTTACTGTGGCCTGAGGAGTCCGTGTAAACTGCCTCTGCCTGCTTCCTTCCCACCCGCCCCTTCCTCTCTTTCTACAGCACCCCGTGCATGCCCCAGGCCCTTTGCACAGGCTTTTCCTTGTCGCTCTCTTAATCCCTCGGCAGGTGTAGGCACCAGCTGCTCTGAAGCCTTCCCATTCTCTGACGCTCCCTCTTCTGGCTTCTTTTTTAATCTGTAAAGCAATTATTTTTTATTTGGTTTTATTTTTAGCAAAGTACTGTTTGCAACTAAATTTTAAAAACCAAAGTGGTAAAAAGACTTACAAGAGCAGAAAACAGCAGTCCTCCCATGGCCCCGACCCACCCCTGATCCCAGAAGCAATTCCACCCTCTCAGCTCTTTTCTCCTTGTATTTTCTCCATCTTGCCAAATACCAGATTTATTTTTCTGTCTCTTGATCCCCCAATTTTGTCCATTATCTACTGACTTCCTATTATGGAAGACGAGGACTGTAGATTTCTTACACACTCTGGTCCTTCCTCTCCACCCTCTCCACGAGACGACATTTTCGGTTAAGTATATGTTTGGTGTTTTCATTAGGAATGCACTGCAAATATTCTCTCTTGCCCAGCCCGGAGTTCATAATTGTTTCATTTTTTTTCATTTACTTAGTTGCTTTTTTTTTTTTTTTTAAATATCTCAATTTTCTAGGACTCCATATTTGCACACACTCCTACTGCTGTGTCAAAACCTCGCAGGGGAGTTTCCAGGGTCTGAGCTCTGTGAAGATTTCTCCTTGGAGGCATCTAAACTCCTCCCTGCTGTCCCGGCTATCCTCTATGCCTGTGTGCGGCTACCGCCCTGAGAGTTTCTCTTCACCATTCTATCAGCGGTTCCCTTCAGCTTTTTCCTGTGTTAGATCCCATGTCTTGAATCTTCCTCCTTAATGGTTTGCTCCCTGATCTTGTGGGCGCACATCCTCCAGTAATTTCCTGAGCAAGTGTGTGTGTTTGAAAATTGTTCATTCTCCTCACACGTCAACTGATAGCCAGGCTGGGTATAGAATTCTAGGTTGAGAATTACTTTGACTCAGATGGTGGAAGGCATCTGTCCATCTGTCTAGCTCCCAGTACTATTCTTTTTTTTAATTTAATTTTAATTTTTTTTTAATTTTATTTAAAATTTTCATTTTTAAAATGTTTATTTAAATTTTATGTAGTTAACATGCAGTGCAATATTGGTTTCTGGAGTAGAATTCAGTGATTTATCACTTACATACAATACTCAGTGCTTACCAC